CCACCCCCAGAAGAGAGGAAACAAAGACTTCCAGGCTCAAGGCCTCAGGGCTGCCTCCTGCCTCCGGTCAGTTTGCTAGAAGAGGAAACAACAAAACAAAGAAGCCGCTAAACCGCCCCCACTCTATTGCTCAGCCCCAACCTCCGACTTCAGACCGCCAGGGTCACCTTCTCCTCCCTGACTCTGCTTTTCTCAAAGGAAAACATGCCTGCAAAAGCACAATTCGGACTGAAAACCCAAACACGCATCTTGGCTGGGGAGTGCTGAGTTGGAGTGTACTGGGGGTGGGTGGGTGGTGGTAGTGGCGATTTTATCTCCCTTAGAGGGTTAACATCCAAGCATGGCTGAGGACTTTGATGAATCCACTAGCCAACCTTCCTTTTCTCCACACTCTCTTCGTATAAAAATAGCTCCAGTTTTAAAAGTCGGTAGGACAATGGTTTAAAAACAAGACGCAGCAAGCATCCCTGTCCTCCGGCAGGGGCTGAATCAGTTAGTCAGCTCAGTGCTTGGCAGCACGGCCCGCAGGGGGCGTGCGCAGCTCCCGCAGCAAAACACAGCACGGCACTGCACTGCACAGCACAACACAGCCAGGTGGGCTACCCCAAGGGAGCCCGAATGTGGGAATCCGGGAGCGCAGGAGTCCACTCCTTGGCGTGCGCAAAAGGCTTGAAGATAAAGACACACCCCGGGTTTTGGATCATTTTTTGGTGCTACAACACAAGTGTGCTATTGTTGGCAATGTTCCTCTCCAATCTCAGCTGCAAGCAGCCATAGCGAGGTCGGGTCTCTAGTGACCACCATGCCCAACCTGCAGGGTTGCTCTGGTCACTGGGATCGCTTGCTGGGGGTGGGGTGTCAGCGCTTAGGGTTGGACTAGCTGGGGAGATAGCTAGTCACTCTCCCCATGGCCGTGGGGTTTGCCTCTGGAGGGACCCTCACTGCCCTGACACTAAGGTCCCCACACAATAGCCATCAGGCCTCCTGAGCCCTCTAAACAGGTTTCCACCACCCCAGCCAAACTAGCGGCTTCAGTCTTCACCACAGGCACACTTCGTAACCTCATGCGCATCTTCGAGTTCATGCTCCCTGGTGAGACTGCACAGAGATAACTATTATCCCACACAATAGTTATCCCTGCGAGGGGACAGACACGGGCTGCAAGAAAGGTCCCTTGCAGAGTGTCCTGGTGACTGTCCTCAAGAGCGAGACCTTTTGGTTTCGCAAACGGCTGGTATGAGGGTCCCCAGTCAACTCTCCAACGCATGGTCACCATAAGGCCTGGGCTCTCGGAAGCCGAGGTCTCCCACACGGGGAGGAGGCGCTCCCCGCTGACTCGCGGCCTCTCTTGCCTGGATCTCCAGGCGACACGGTTGGTCGCGCCCTGCAGGTCCTTTGTTCACAGGGCAGACGGAGTCGGCTGGGAGCAGCTGCAAGGCTCACCAAGGAAAGCTGCCACGCACTTGCCCACTTGCCGTCTCCTCCCACTCTCCAGCCCAGGAACCTTTCCAGCTCCCGCTTCCCATACGCCCAGTCCTGGCTTCTCTCCCGGCCTAGGAGTCTTTGAGGATTGAGGAAATGTGGTTTCTAGGGCCAACCATCACACTCCTGCCCAGCTCCTGCAGCCTGGGGAAGTGAGGGGACAGTTGAAATGTCACCCACCAGGATAAATATTAACAAAAAACAAATGGACTTGTGCAGGGACCAGTTATCAATCAACCACGTCGCAAGGCCACTCACAGCAAACATGGCCCAGGTTGGGCTGGGCAAGACTTTCTCATGGCCACCTCTGGATCCAACCCCACCCCCACCCCTAAGCCCAGCTCAGTTTCTTCTCCAGGGTCAATCTGGGGCAAACACCAGCCAGAAAGGAAGTGCAGTGCCTGTGCCGGGTGCTAGATACCTAGCTGCCACCCCTGAGCTGTTCCTTGCCTCCAAATCAGGGAGGGTCAGAGTGACCCAGTACCCACCGGCACCCGAATCTGGAGCCCCCGTGACACCATCTCCTGGGTCCGACGGTGCTGAGCCCGCTTGGTGGGTATACGTCGCAGCATCTTCCTTGCTGGTAGCTTGAGTCCTGTATCCAAAGCCTTCTGGAATTGTTAATTGGAAACTAATCTTCTAGCATCTTGATAGAAGCCCACATCGGAGGCGGGGCACCCTCCACCCCAGCCCAGTCCAGCCCACCCAAGACCAGACGGGCTGGAGCTATATGCTATGTTTAAAACCCAGCCCAGTCCAGCCCACCCAAGACCAGACAGGCTTGAGCCTGGCTATATGCTATGTTTAAATGGGGCAGCAGCACGTATTACACGGAGGGAACACATATTGATTTTTTTAAGGTAATTAATTTGGTGAGACTTTCCTCCTGTCGCCTGTCTTCCCCCAGTCACTACAATTTTGTGAAGGAAAAATGCCTCCCCAAACACACACTACTTGCTACAATCAGCTGAGCAGATCCTGGGGGACAGAGAAGGGCACGGAAAACCCACCCTCCAGCTGTGGGGTGAAGGGGTGGGCCTCCACCTCCCAAGACATCGGGCAAGACAGGGTGGAGGGTCTGTGAGTGCTCCAGTGAGCAAAGCTGCAAGGGGCACCTTCGCAAGCAATCGCAATGGGAGCTGGCAGCAGGGGGCAGGCAGCCGCCTGAGCGCCCTGCAATCCGCGTCAAGGCTCCTGTTCCCGACCTGCTAGAATGCACTTGGAGGGTTCCGAAACCTCACTTATTTTACTTTTAAGTAGAGATATCAACAAGACAGTTTGTTGTTCTTCAGTGACTTAAAAATAGGCCGTGGCTTCTGCTGCATGGTGGGATTGCTCCCAGCTCCTTGCATCACATCGGCCTCAGTCTCAGACCTTTCCACTTCCCCCTAAATGACAGAAACAAAAGTGAAGGAGATGATGCTCCATTGGGGTTTGGGACGTGGAATCTGCTTGGGATTTGGCACCAAGTGTGTGTCCTGTTGGGGTGTTCGATTTCCCAATTTTCCACATTTTTGAGAAGGCCATGTGCCCTGCCACAAGCTGCGGGGTGTCCAGGAAGGCCCCCCTTGGATGAGCTCCTGGCTTCCAGGAGCACCTGCTCAGCGTCCAGCCCTGGGCTCCCCCCACACACACACACACACAAGTTCTCCAGTTCTGCTCTCTACGTGTGAAGGTCAGAGGATGCTGGAGTAGGGCAGGGCTCAAGGCCAGGTTTCCAAGGCGCTCATCTTCTAGGAACAGAATCTGACAACCTGTCTTTCTAGGGGCGGAAGGAGGTACTGGAGGCAGAGGCACCTTCATGGGACAGCCACCGGGTTCCCAGGGGGAGTACTCGGCTGCATTTCCACCTCCTGCCCACATTCCCAGACCCTACCAGCTGGCCTCAGCGGTCACTGCTAGGGCAGAGGTCTGAAGCTGGGGCTCTGGGTTGGTGCCTGTGTGCCCAGAGGCACTACTTTGGGCTTCCCCAACCTCAGCTGCCTGCATCTTGGTCAGTACAAGGAGGTGGATATGGTTGAAGCACACAGAGTGAAGACAGTGGGAACCCAGGAGTTCAGGATTAGCTGGGGCGCCCAGTCAGCCGTTCTCTCCTGCTCCGGTCTCCCGGTCCCCCAGTTCCCAGCCTCCCCCGGCTCAGACGTGAAGACCTCTTGTAGGGCTTGAGCCGGGAAACCTGGCAGGACAGGGCCTCAGCCAACGGGAGCCCGGGGCAGGAGTACGCGAGCACTCACACCTATGGAAAACGCTGGGTCACTTCGGGCAAGCGTCGCAGTCTCTCTGGCACCTGCCTCCCCCTGGCCTCTCATTGGCAGGCTCAACATGGGGGAGGGGGCTTTGGCCACACGCTTTGATTTGAGTGGAAACGGCTCAGTGCCCCCGGCTCAGAGCGGATTGACTGTCTCACGTTCTCCAGGGACGAATTAATGGAGAACGATCAGTTAATTAACAAACCCTCATTCCGGCTTTTACCTTTCTCTTCGCCAAGGCTCAGGCCTAGGCGCCGGGACTGAGATGGGGGCGGTTTGGGGCACGGACTCAGGAGTCAATCAAACTGGCAACCTCGGCCTGGGTCCCACAGACCCCACTGGCCCACGGCTACCCTTGGCTCTATCTCCCTTTAGTCCTGGGACCTCTGGGCTCACTAAATACGCCTTAAATTCCTGGTGCGGTTCGGGCTGGGGTCAACTGTGCACTCAGCCTATCCGGGAGTCAGGAGCGGTCGGCACCGCTCCATCGGGACATTTCCGCTCAACCAGAAATACCCGGTTCCCAGATGCAGGCCAGGGAGCCCCCTGTTCGCAAACTTAGGGTCCACACACTCCTCTTCCCGCCAGGAATTCAGGCCAAAGATCACCCAGAGGAATCAAACGAAATGCAAAGTCCGAAGCGACACCGCAGAGAAGGTGGTCCCTGGGCTCATCGCTCAGCGGCGGTGGCCCGGACCTGGGCTGTCGGCCTCCCTCTCCTCCCCACAGCCAGTCCACGCACTGTGAGTGCTCAGCCTTGCACCGCCCTGCAGCTTCGGAACGTTTTGTAGGCACTTATAATGCGGCTCCCCTGCCAGCCCAGAGTCCTCAGAACCAGCGCTAGTCGCGCAGTGGCGGAACACTCCAGAGCAGCATCTGGTATGGGCTAAATCCTACTCACGCGTCTCCTCCCTCTTCAGTAACCGGGAAGGTTTAACCGACAAGCAGCGCACAACAAAACGCGTCCCGCTGGGCGCGGCGATTTCTCTGCACAGAGCTGCCCACGCCGTTTAGAGAACTAGCGCGCCCCAGCAGTCACGGAGGCCGGCGGCTTAGTTCTCTAAGTCTTCCACGGCCCAACACACAGAGCCTTGGAAGACGCAGTCTGCCCCAGGAGCGAGTCCTGGTCTTTCCAGGCTCAGGGATCCTCCTCTGGGGGAAGGGGAGGAGGGAGGGAGCGCGCCCAGCCCTCTCACCTTCCCTCCCTCCTTCGGTCCCCTTGGTTTCCTGAGCCTCAGCTCCAGGCGCCTACCTCCTGGGACTGCTCACCTGCTAAGCGGAGCGCGGACATGCGCTGGAACTCTGGCTCCTGCAGCCACTTCCACATCCTCCGGAAGGTCTCCCGGCCGGACTTGAGTTTGCTCCAGGGTTTGGGGTTGCGCAGCAGGTCCGAGAGGGTCCCCTGGGAGCGGCAGAGCACCCTCTGCGCGAAGATGGCCTGTGGGATGCTGTAGCGCTTGAGCTCGGTGGTGATACGCTGCGCCACCTCTTTGGTATTGATCTCTTCCATCTGCCCTGAATTACTTCCATTGCTGACCTGCGCACCGGTCACCGAAGGGTTGGGTTCCCGGGCAGTTCCCAGGAGCTGCCCGTGGCCCTGGGCATTCAGGTGGGCGTGGGGGTGGTGCGGAGGAAGGCCATTTATCGGCACCATGCCGGCGGAGGTGGGTGTGAGGTGCTGCTCCCCGTGGCGGCCGAGCATGGCCGGGTGGTGGGCTTCGAAGCCGTTGGGGGTGAGCATCTTGTCGGTGGGCATGGCGGCGCCCGGGTGGGCATAGTGGGGGAGTCCTTGCTGGGAGTTGTGGATGCCGCCCAGACCCGAGCCTGAGAGGGGCGAGAGGCTCTGGGAGAGGGGGGAGAGGCTCTGGCCCATGCCGGCTCCGTCCTTGTGGTAGGGGGTATAGAGGTTATTCATGGAGGCCAGCCCGCGCTCGTCCCGCATGAGCGTGAAGCTACCGCTCACGTTGCCCGCCAGGCGCTGGTGGTGGTGCGGATGGTGGTGGTGATGGTGGTGGTGGTGATGGTGGGGGAATTTGTCCGAGACGGTGGAGATGGGCGGCAGCGGCTGCAGAGGGGTTAAAGGGGTGTAGGTGGTGGGCATGCTCATACCTGGGG